AAATTCTTAAAGTGGAAGTTCATTTTGATCCTTCCTATACTCAGGCTTGAATGAGCTATACTCCACATGAAAAACCTTACAGTTTTACATCTTCTGTTTAAATCCCATCCATGTTTTGACACAAGTTTTCTACAGGCGTTCTGGTTTTACTTTTATAATTAAACAAAAGCGTACTGGTGGATTGGGTACACCACCTCAACCAACCACCACCACCACCAAGTTACTCCCTGGCATATATAAAAAGTGTGAAAAGGACATAAGCTTGTGAGCTCCTTTGGGATCAGGAACTAATGCAAATTGATCTATGTAATCTAAGAGGCACAATATATGCAGTAAAACGAAGTACACTGAGTGGCCAGATTATTATGACCGCCCCATCAGTACTTCGTTGGGCCACCTTTTGCCTTCGATTCGAACAACAGCTGCTCTTGAACATTTAACAAATTCTGCTGTTTTGCTGATACTCGCTCCATGGCTTGAGCGCCAACAATCATCCCACGTTCAAAGGCAGTTAAATCGTATTGTTTACCTGTATCTTCAGAAACAAATCACTTCTACTGTGGTGGTAAACAACCTGCTTCCCTATTTATAATGGTCTGGCCCTCTAGCAACTTCAGCGCAAAATTATAGTTAATTTGCCTACAAACGTCAGGTGGTCATAATAATCTGGCCATTTTTAGGATTTCTCTTACATCAAACAGCTCTTGTGTAGTCACTTAGGCTAGGGCTATACTAATGGTTTTCGTAGCCCAATCACACAACTAAAATCTCTCGTGACTGATCTCGGTTTGTAACACATCACTTTTAATGTGAGCTGCTACACAAGAAATTTGTAGTAGCAGGTCAGAGCAATTCTCCCACAAAGCCACAATTTAATTCCAGCAAAAACTACTAACATCTGATCTCTGCACTTCTCCACATTCTTGAATGAGAGTGGAAGATCGACCCATCAACAAATCGCTCAGGAGAATCTTGGGTGATTTACCCCGATTAACCTCCCTGGCGGTCTGATTATGTCAGTATTTTTTCTCACTTTTTTTTTTTCTATTTTTCACTTTTGAATTTCCCGCTGGTCCCGCCCCCCTGTGACGCCGACACTCGCAGGGAAGGAACCCGGAAGACGGATGCCGGCATCGGCCGGAGGACACAGCGGGGCTCGTAGGGACAAGGTAAGTGACGCTACTGTGTAATCCCGAGTGTGGCTCGGGGTTACTGTTTTTGGTATTGAAAATTAACTCCGAGCCATACTCGGGATTACCGCCAGGGAGGTTAAAGTATACGCTTAGAAGATTGGTCTCATGTGCAATCTCAAACAATCGGTCAACATTCTCCTGCAGCAGCACAAACAAGGATTTTTACACTGCAAAAGTAGTTAGCACTTCTGCCTTCAAGCACTGGGGGTCCCCGGTTCAAATTCCGGTCAGGACACTATCTGCAAGGAGTTTACATTTCCTCCCTGTGCTTGTGTGGGTTCCCCCTCCGTGTACTCTGGTTTCCTCCCACACTCCAAAGACATAATGGAAAGTTAATTGGCTCCGTCTAAATTGGCCCTCGTATGTATGTATGTATGTATGTATGTATGTATGTATGTATGTATGTATGTAAGATAGGGACCATACATTGTAAGCTCCTTGAGGGCAGGGACTAATGAAATGTAAAGTGGTATGCAAAATGACGGCGCTATGTAAATAACTGTAAAAAAAAAATAACATGTCATCAGTCTGCAAGATTTCAATTGCCTGTGTAGTCCACACACCTTATAATTTACCTCATTTGCGGTAGACAAAAGGAGAGCTTGATAACATAAAAAGGTACTTGAGAACTGGAATTCACCACTGATTCAAAGTTCCTAAATACAAGTCATGCCCAAGAGGAAGCATTCAATGCACTGGAACGAGCAGTTGAAGTTAATGTGAGGACGCAATCACTGTGAACCAGAAGCAGTCTTTTGCTTCCTTCACAATCATGACAACCCCGTCACCATACAAAAAGCTGCAATATTTTCCATTTACCTCACTATATTTTTTGCTTTAAAAAATTTACTTTTTTTTTCTCTTACCAACCTTTATAAAGAAATGCTGTTTCACAAAACCACTCCACTTTACGTCCCAAAACATTCACTTTAAGCATGTCCAGTGTATCCTGGAGAAATATGGAGGCTGCCATTGTTGAGGTCTCTGTCGTTTGACTGTTAATTGGCACATGCACAGCACTGGATGAGGATGAGGATGAATCTACCTGCCCTAGCCTGTGAGTCCGAGTTCTGCCTGGGTATACAGGAATTCACACTGGTGATGAAAAGGTGGCAAACGATTCCTGCATTTATCCAGTATTGTTTACTTACACAATAAGAGGGACCTGGCAAACTCACTTTAAAAATATCTACCAAACATGGAGTTCAATTACCCTTTCATTTATAACCACTGCTGCTGATTTACAAACACTAAAGCTAGGACATTTTGCAACAATACCACTTTAGCAAAAACTTTCATATACGAGCCTCAGTGATCAATGATGGATGTATTATCTCTTATAATGCAAACAATGTCTAGTTCATATTTGATTAAACTAAACAATGAGGTAAGACACCTGTTGTAGGAAAGGGTAAGACTGGCAGTATAGAGAAGTAGAGGGAGGTTTCACCTACTGGGGCATCTTTAACAATAAAATAAAGGAGGTGATAAATCCCCTTTAAGTCTCATACTAATGCAACAGGAAATAAAACATGTTCTGTCACTATTCATTAACAGGGTGGCTCATTATTAGACTTACAGGAATAGTAGTGGCGTGTTACACAGGTGCCTACGAGATACAGGTGTTGCAATACAGTTGATGAAGCAAGCAAAAATGTTTACATTAAAGATAAAAAGATACACTGGAACACGTATATACAAACTGTCTCAGAATGGTAACCTCAGGAACAAGGCAGAAAAAAACAGCACTATCCAAAACAAGGTTTGGCAGATTTGTAACTAGTTTTAATCTTTCCATCCTTAGTGGGTAGCTGGAAGGACAGAAATAGAGAGGCTGCCATTGCCGACTTGTTTTTTAAGTGCTGGCTTCGCAGTCTGTCATCTTGCTCCTACCTTCACTACCTCGTTTTTGTAGCATGGTGTGCATTTTCAACTCCACTTTTTAAAACATGGGCCTTTCGTAAGAATAGGTAAGTAGAGTGTTCTTTCACGATATATTAAAATTTAATGAAAAAGCATGTATACACAACATTAAATCCTATCCTAATAGGATGTAATCCTATAGGCTGTGAAATGTACACACACGGTAAAATATGTATTACAAGATAAATGCAAAGTGAAGCCGTTTTCTAACATTATAGTGTGAATCCAGCCTAATTCTTAGAGTCAAAGCTCAACTTCAGCATTTCCCCAACCCCTTC